GTCCCGTGGCAAGAATCTAGCAAAGCAATACGGACGAAGGAGAGACAAGGCTACAATAACTCAGGCTAAGAGCAGGCAGGAACAACTGCACTTAGCCCTGGATTACTGTAGGTACGTATCTTTACATACCGTAGAGAACTGGTAGTAAGCGACACTACTAAGCACAACCAGATTTCTGGGTATGGTTCAACGTATCGAGTTGAGCATCTGCATCTGATGCATTCATGGTCAATTTCTGAACAGAAACAACTAAAAGTACAGAACATGATGCTATGCATTCAACTTCTTTACAACTGTTTGCTAATCTAAAAATCACTTGTGTTTAACAGCTGTTTAGGTGAAGAAAACAACCAAAAGCGGATTGTGTTGTTTCCAACAAACAGGTAAGGATAATGTGTGTTGTAACCACCAGTGTCCCGTTCACCACTTTATTGAAGACTGTTTCTGCAATTCTTTTCCCATGATATTTTCCTGCCGTTTACGGTTTTTTGTTTTGGGCGAAGACTTTTTCATATGAAGCCCCAAGGTAGTGGACGACGCTGCCATATCCCGGCTACACGCAGTTCCACTTAACCATCCAGTAGAGATGGACGGAGAAGATATTGCTAAAGATCTCGAAGAATCCAATGCGTGCAAAGGCGAATCCGAGATTCTTTCCGATCGATCCCTGTTCATATTTCGTTGCGATCGAATACATTGATCCCCCGGGATCGTACTTCGTCTTCGGAAACTACGATCTTGAGATGCTCCGTCACGTGAATTCTCTGAAGAACACAGTTTCAGATCGGCCATCAACATTCTTCTTGATATCGATCTTCTAGACTTGCAGTTTTCCAAACTTTGTGCTTTGCTGAAAGAACTTTCGAAAGACATATCCGACATTCTACAGGACCCCTCGTCGTTAGCTAGCATCCGCCGTTGTGAAATCTTCATTTTCTCTATGTTCTTGGTAGTCACGTATGTTGATTCCCGCTCGGAGCGTTTTGAGACCAAAACTGATTGCTGCGACGGCCTCTCCTGGCTTCTGTGGAGAGACATGGTTACGATCGACTTGTGTGCGGCTCCAGAAAAGCCGGACCAGTCAACATTAGTAGTGGCCATATTCATGAACGAAATAGCCTTGTTGTTTCGACTTGGTTGCGGTTTGGGACGCTCTTCATGGGACTTCTTACTGTCACATTGATTCGGAGGTACGTGGATTGCGTTTTCGGTCGTCCGGGCTTCCACAATTGCGTAGTTATCACGATGGTGAGATACGAAAGTAATTGATGAGACTTCAGAGTCGTCGTCGTTGAATGCGGAGGAATTCATTTTAATCCAAGTTAAGGTCTATTCTCTTTTTGACGAAAGTATGACAACGAAACTGAAAGTGTAACGTCGAAGTTACGCAACCAATTTATAGTTTAACAGTGACATCAATCAATCATCGATAGTGTTCGATTACTACCGTACCACGTCCTCAGATGTTCAAATCACAATCCAGATTGCAGATCACCAATCACTTTGCGGACTTTTACAAAATCCGTTAGGATGAATGATGGAATGATTCAGGGTGGCAATCATTTCCGTTGCCTGGAACGCTGCTCCGACAGTTCTTTTTTTCGTAGACAAAGTAATGATGTCTTTGGTTGACTTGATGTTGTCATAAGCTGACTTCCAAAATTAGAACCGTTTTGGTTATCGTACCGTGGGGATAAACCTAAAATGTAACCAATTTTGCAACAGTAGAGAATCATGTAAAAGTCTACATGCGTACACTTCCCTAATATCCTACTGACCACAACTGAAGAATTACTGACACAATTTTTGAGAATGCAGTCAATTTCCATCCAATTGACAATGGGTCATCTTTCAGCTATTAAACTTGCTCCTCTTGTTGAGGTTTACAAGCAAAAAAAGCAGTCACAGTTACCAGATAGTACAGGAGAATACTATTTCAATCTGCTAGTAAGGGGGAGGACAACTAACAAATACTAGCTACAATGACAACAATGCCATTGTTGTTGGCACAGACAAACAGAAGCTTTGCAGCAACCCAATCAACGCATCCAACCAATGCATCCAACTGATGTGTCCAACCGACGTGCCCACCAGCGCAAGCAAGAATGCCTCTACCAGCAATGCGTCTACGAGCGACGCATCCAAGCAATGCATCCACCGGCAACGTGTTCAAACACATGCATCCCCCAGCAAAGCGTCCAACCAACACATCCAGCACAAGCAATGCGTCTACTGGCAATGCGTCTACCAGTAATGCATTTAACCAATGCATCCACCGGCAACTGGTTCAAACAAATGCATCCACTAGCAACACATCCAAGCAACACGTCGAAGCAACACATCCAAGCAACGCATCCAAGCAACGCATCCAAGCATCGCATCCAAGCAACGCATCCAAGCAACGCATCCAATAAATGCATCCACGTGACAGATCCACCAGCAACATGTTCAAACAAATGCGTCCAAGCAACGCATTCAAACCAATGCATCAATGCATTGTTGAGTCAAAAATTATGCAGCAATCAACCAGCTATCTCAACTGTGCATGTCCACCTTGCCTCTTGTGCTTGACAAGAGCCTTCAGGATACCTCTTACAGTCTTCTCCTGCCTGTACACACTGTACACTGTGTGGATTACATTATGAGCACTGCCTGTTCTACTCTTCAACACTCTTTTAATGGACAACCAAAAGGGTTTCCTCCTGCAGTACACAAACTTGTTTTCCTTAGAGCTCCTTTCAGATGCAGTGAAGTTCTTTGCTGGTTGGTTCCCTGCAAATCCAGATTCCCATTTGCTCCAAATAACAAACAAGTTGGAAGGATTCTTCTGCAGGATTGCCTGTTGGTCCTGTTCACCAGCAGTAGCTTCTCCTGGGTTAACAAGACGTTGCCTGCCTCACCATCCTTCTTGCTACTGGCACCATTGAAGCTCAGTTACAAGCAGCTTGAATCCTCTTGTTTCTATCCTTTTGTGATGCAAATTATTTCATCAGCAGAAACTCCATACACACCATTCCCAACAGCAGCTCCAGCTTGCTGTTCCTCTATCTCTGGTTCAAACAGCTCATCAAAATTTATTTTACCATTTGATTCATTTGCAATTATTTCGACTTTGCAAATAGGATTTGCACTATCATCAACAGCAATACCAACACCACCATTAGCTCTGACTCTTTCATTCAGCTGAATAAATAAAGCCATCACATTCCTTCTGATATCATCTGGAACAACACCAATGAGAGAAGGCTCAAAGCATACCCACAGAATTGCCTTTCCTAGAATCACAGCAACCTCATTGCTGAATGCACTTACAATATTAGGAGTAACATTTTCAATCCACTCATCTGTTATTCCACAACCCTCTACTGGCTTATAAAGGTGTACTCTTTCATAACACAAAAGGCTTGCAACAGAAATATCAGGCCAGGGTAGTTGCATATCAGTGTAACGGTCTTGCTGCATTCAGTTTCCTTTCCATCTAGCTCTGTAATTAATATCATCCTTAGGTATTCCTGCATGTCTGCAAACTGAAACAGAAAACTTCCTAATAGAGTGCGTCCCCAGCCTGCCTTGCTTTTCTTTACAAAATGATCCATTCTTCCAAACATGTCTAGGTAGGAATCCAGAATATTGTTTCTTGCCATGTTCAATTTCTCCTTTTTTAATTTTCATTGGTGATCTTGCATTGGTGGTCCCTTCAGTAAAAAGCCACTGATTGATTGTTCCATGCCCATCATAGCACCACTTCTCCAAAAATAATGCTAAGGCAAGTACTGTACATGAGTTCTAATTCATTGATCCCATCAAGATCTCATCAGGACAGTCTGTGTCCTCTTGCACATTCTGTCTTCAAAGTCAAAAATTCAGGGAATCTAGAGCGAGCCTTCAAAGAATCTTTTGTTATATGAGCCATGTCATCGTTTTGACCCATGTAGTGCATTTGGGTCAACATCATTGCTTTAAATCTTTGCCTATTTATCAAACTACTATGCTGTTCCATAAGGTTGAGTGCTTGAAATAATTCACCCTTTGTGAGAGCCCTATCCATTTGTGTTTCCTTGCCAAGACCTCATGTTTCCTCCAGTTTGATTGCAGCAATTAAATTATTCACTTTGGGAGATTGGGTTGGGTTACCACTGCCGATTCCTTGAATCACAGTCCACTTGATACTCTTGTTAGGAATAAGAAATGAAATAGACTTCTTTGTATACTCTATAGTAGTGCTTTGTATACTCTATAGTAGTTGATCTAGCATATATAGGGTTGTCATCAGGTGACAGATCATCCTTCTGGAAAGCTTGTAGAGCAAGGAAACAATACACATGATTGGGAGTGAGGCCGCCAAGCTCAGCATCAGTGAATACATAGTCCATAGCAAATCTTGTATCTTCAGTGGGAGGATTATCTCTTCTTCCATCTCTTCTTGTGCTGGTGCTGGTGTTGGTGCTGGTGGTGAAGACATGGTTTCACTGCTGCTGGTAGTAGTAGGTACTTCTTGGTGGTGTAAAAATAGCTATTGTCATATAGAATTTGTGAGCATTTGTGATTGTGTAAAGAATTGAGTTTGCACCTCAGTCACACCTCAGTCAGAAGCGCCTAAGAGAGGTCACCGGAAGACTAAGAGGGAGTTGCATTGTTGCACTCTCTAGGTATTTTCAACGGCTGAGAATGCACCTCAGAGGCTACTGGATCTCACCTCTATTACAACATGGTATACTGTTCTCTTGTGTCAATAAACACACAAAAAAGTCATTACAGTTGCAAAAATAGGGGTATGAGTAACAGCACTAGTGTATTTTGGGTCATAGGCCTATTTACTGGGAGTTTTCTTTGCCATTGAGGCAATAATGAGAATGAAATTTTAGTTGTAAAACGTAGGTGTACATTGTGTTGACTCCTACTGCCACCTACCATGCAGGTAGAGCAAAAAATCCGCTAAGTCTGTTGAGCAGAATTGCTTGCATCATCAAGAAGCATAAGGCAATTCCCATAAGAAACAGACACATGATGCAGATAATTCTTGACAATAACAGAAACATATTATATAATATTATGACAGTTTTCTATGATCTAAGGGGGGGGGGGCAAGAAGTAGTTAGCAGCTACAACAGCAGCAACCCATATCAGCGGAAGCCGTATTGGCAGCTCGTCCTCTGTATCAGCATCCTACCCATATCAGCAGCAAGCCTCTGTATCAGCAGCTCATAAGTACTATCAGCGAATTGTATCAGTGACTTGTGTCAGTGACTCCTATCAGCATCTTCTGTATCAGTGACTCATATCACCATCCTCCTTATCAGCAAGCCTCTGTATCAGCAGCTCATATCAGGGACTTGTATCAGTATCCTCTGTATCAGCAAGCCTCCATATCAGCAACAACTTGTATCAACAACTTGTATCAGTGACTTGTATCAGCATTCTCCGTATCAGCATCGCCCATATCAGCATCATCTGTATCAGCATCATCTGTATCAGCATCATCTGTATCAGCATCCTCTGTATCAGTGACGCTCTGTATCAGCATCCTCTGTATCAGCAAGTGTCTGTACTGTATCAGCAAGTGTCCATACTGTATCAGCATACTCCGTATCACCATCTTCCATATTAGCAACGCTCTGTAACAGTAAGCGTTCTCCTTATAAGCATCCTCAGTATCAGTGAGCCTCTGTGTCACCATCCTCTGTGTCAGCATGTGTCCTCCATTGTAGCAAGCGTCCTCCATATTTTCTGATAAGACAAGAAGGAATAGTAGGGATAAAAAATTATTAGTTTGCACCTCCATGCATCCAACACCCTAATGACCAGGTTGCATTGTTGCATTTTCAAATTTTGCAGCTTGGTCTAAATTTGTTGTCACAGTCACTGCTTGCGTTATCCAGTAACAATACTCAAATCAAGTAAATCACAAGAAGCTGGTGAGTGAGCAAAAAGGTCACTCTTTATTGTAAAAACACATTAATGTGACACTTGAGAAAATGTACCATATTTAGCATGTTATGAGCAACAAATAACCATCATTGGCAACATAGAAGAATAAAAACTACTGAGCAGTCTGATCTATTCTTGCTCTGGTCCTTTGTTGGGGAACACAGCAATGATCAGCTCTTGTTTTCCAAATCAAGTATCTTCCTGGCTAACTTTTTTGAAAATTCTGGAGGAGAACATGGTAGTACTGAACCATGTAGAACTCTAGTACTACAGTACACCTTTCTCCAAACACCTCTTGAGAGCAGCTGTCAGCTCCCAAAAACAGTAAACCAGCCATTAGCATCAACAACGATGGACATTCAACTTGTCTATATGCAGCCAACGCCTACCAAATAATAATCAAATGATGCCCAACAAAAACATCACCCCCTGTAAGCCAAGATCCATACTCTGCACACATACTCCCCAGCAAAAATCATTACAGCAGAAACAGAAATCATCTTTGTCACAACAACCAAGGCAACATTCCCAATGCAAGAATTCCTTGTAAGATCTCCACAGTTAAATCATCCACACCCACTCCTCACTTGGATCTTGAAGAGTACCATGGCACCATTCAAAGGGAGATTCAGGTCATCACCATACTGATATTCCCAATGAACTCTGATCTCAGCATCTACAATGAGACAATATTTCAATTCAAACCAAAACAATCACCATTGCCAAAGAACTATGCTATACACGTAGCCATCATTCATAACACTGGGCTGAATGACAAAGACAAATTTGCAGCCCTTGGGAATGACTTGAAAGATCTTCTCCAGCACCAGAACCACTTTCATGTCCCACAGGAGGACACACCAACTGCATCCTTCCTTTGATACAAATACAGCACAGCATTCCTTCACCATATGAATACTGTCCTTCTGAGGAACAAGGATATGCCTCCCCTTCCAGTATCTTCTCCTCACTATTGTAGAAGATAGCTATCAACCCCTGCTCACTTGAGCTTTGCTCAGGAATGATGACAAGCTCAATAGCAGGCACCACAGGATCCAGACAACAGTTGTCAATACAACACCATTGACACTGAACTTCAGACACTTAAAGATAGCTTTGACTCCTCCACAGAGCACACTGCAAGACAAGAGGAAATTCAATCCATGACTACTCCAACCACCATATCCAAATTATCATCTCATCTCAAGGAAAAGGACACTGAATGGACTCAATGATAGGGACAGTTCAACTGTGGCCTTCACAGTCTCCAAACCCAATACAAGCCAGCACTTGAAACAACCACAACAAAACTATGCCAGACCAAAGAGGAACTCAATAATTCTTGCAAATTAGTCCAAACAGCGCAAAAACAATAACAGATCCAAAAAACAACCTTGGAAAATTACTGACCTCCATCAAAACATGTAAGCCACTTCAAATCCAACATGGGCTTTAGATCAACAAACCAGTAGAGCCTCTGTACTCTTGTCCTCCCTCAAGGATAAACTTATTCACCTTCAAACACTCCAAGATGAGACAAGCAGCATCACAACTTGGACACCATCTGTTACAAAAGCTGACCAACAAGAACTGGCAGATATAATTGCTACAACCACTGATGGGATTGTTGAAAATGGCCATGAGGCTGAAAAAAATTCAGGTAGCAAAAGCAGTAGAAACTCAGACATTACTCCTTGAAAACACCATTCAGAACATGATAGTACATGACAAGTTGGACAGAGAAGACACTATTGTCCAAAGTGTGAAGGACACTGTCATTACCCAGACCAAACAAGAGATCATCACATAAGCTGTCAGCACACTCAAGAAAGTTCAACTAGATCTTGCACTCACCCAAAACAGCATAAAACAGATCTATAACAACTCTGTCACTAAACTTACCATTTACAAGAAACAGATTGCTAAGGAGCTAGATAAATCAGCCACTGAGATCCAAGAAAACATTTCCCTCACTTAGGAAATTGCAGAGTCAGATATCAAATGCTTGCTCCAGCAACATCTGGAACAGAAGGACACCATCACTGATATCACTGACCAAATCCACTCAGCCTTAAAAGGAATTATCTCCTCAAAGGAATTTCACCCTGATGTCAACACCAAAATCACAAACTATATCTCCACTTCAAAACCACTCAAAGACCTTGTTCAACTACAGGTCAAAGAGGCAATCAAAAACAACTCCCTAGCACAACCATCCCCAAGGACTGCTAATAACCTCCAGTGGTTAACTCCAACCAATAGAGACCAATATCATTGGAGGATGACCACTGTGAACCCTAGGACTAATGTCCCACAGTATCATCCACACCAACCACCCCTCTGTGAAAGCAATATCAACTTCCGGTGCAACACCAACAGAAAACATGATATAATGGATGGGAAAGTTATCCACAACTAAAAGCACCACATTAGTAAGGCACTCCACACAATGGACTTTAAAGATCTTGACCACAACCTCATACTGACTACCAACCACTACCTTACATCCACTGAGTTCACAAGTCTCTGCACTGAACTGTAGGTCACAAAAAGTGTTTGCAAGGTTTGGTCACAACCCTGCGTGTGAAGTTTTGCGTAAGCACTTAACACAGTGAAGTTATGAACAAGACAAACACCACAAACTGGCAAGAATTTGTGAACAAGACAAACACCACAAACTGGCAAGAATTTGAGTACAAAAATAAAGTTCAATGCAAGTGCTATCATTCATATGGCCAGAATGTGGGAGAATAGATCTGTCAATTTGGTGCACAACCGCAATATGCCCAAAAAATTTCTCACAATCACCCAGAGGATGCCTTCAAGACAAACGCAATCAAACATAACAACACAGACACTAAACATGTTGTCACCCATTTTGAGAGCAACCTCAATGGTAGAATCCTCACTGAGGACAAACACAATTCCTAATGCAAAGAACTTGCAAACATATACTTGGTGATTCCCAACATAGAGGAAACAGGCTGTGTCATTAGGGAGGCCCAGCATACTAGGCATCTCTACAATATCTCCCAACATCAATGCAGCATGCTTGACCACTGGGGTTACCCCAAATCTTGCTCTACTCCCCACAGCAATGATATCTTTCACCACTACCCATCACCMATTGCAATTAACCAACCCTGATGACCCATGAGCAAGCAGGGAACCACCAGTTCCCCTCCCATGCTGAACAGCATCTTGGGGATACTAAATAGAATCAGCTCTTATGTACTAGTAACAGGAGCTGTTCTAGCAATAGGGTTTGAATTTGATTGTGCTGAATAAAAAATCTGGATGGTGCAGGAAAAGATGGCAATTCCCTTGAGAAGATAGATATAAATCACCCATTGTCAACGAAGGACAACAATATGCACAACTTATGTGCAAAAATAACACACTATATTGACATCATGAAAAGAATAGATATCATATTGTTGGTGCTGTTGGTAGGATATCAGATTGTAGGAATGATTCATATCTATGACACATACATATGACAAATATCTATGATTCATACACACTCTACATTCATGACTCACTCAATCCTATGGATGCACACAATTGACTTGACTCATTTGACTTACTCACCTGACTGACTTGACTCATTTGATTCACACATCACACCATCTTCACTCTGTTTGATTTTAGATTTCATAGTTTGTTGATCCTTGATAAGAGCATCAACTCACTTTCTTCTTGAACTGAATTTACATCACTATTTGATAGTCACTCCCACAGGTTATGACACCCTTCCAATAAAAAATCATCACCACCATGGTGATCTTTTTTTGGTGTGCTCTCTCCTCAAACGACTCTACCACATACAATTGCCCACAAGCCTTTGAAGAACAAACTGTCATTACACATTAAAAGCTACAACATAATCGAATTCTCGTCAAGTGACTTTCCTTCTTTTTGCACAGTATACCCAAGTTGAATATTGATTAAGATGAATTGCAATTGGGGAATGGATTCTTTCTTGAAACAACAAGAAGTGGAGGAAAAGAAGGGGCTGGGGCCCATTAGAGAAGGACAAGATGTAGTGCAACCCCACAAGAGCAGTTTTGTCAATCTGCCTTGGAACCTTTCCTGCACAGTTTCACTTCATTTTCCTCTTTGAAAGCCACGTATCAGAGACACAGTACTATTTTAAAGCTTGGTGGTACTATGCAAGCAATTTTGGATAGTGCCTTGCCATCTTTATCTTTGCATTCTTTCTGGTGGTATGCATGATGTCAATCTTGTGCAGCATGAATTCTCTGTTGGTTTACATAGTCAGGGGCTCCTCTTGCAATTAACATGCTATATATCATTTATGTGCATCATTTACTAGTACAAAAAATATGGTAAGGTTTGAGAGAAAACACAAACAGTTCAGGAACCAAATGATTTCTGCCCCGCTACTGCCTATCTGGCTTGCACAAAGGACTCACTTTATGTCTGAGTAACACCAAAAGCAGATTCCATTCAGGCTCCCATGTTGTTAATAGGAGGAAGTAAAAACTTCAAAACATGTTACAAACAACAGTCTAGAATTTCTACTTTGATTTGATCCATAAGCTAAAAAATAATTAAGATGACCATCTGGCACTAGTATAATCACCATCAGACAAAATTGTCCTCATTTCTCCAACAGGTAGCACCCAAAGAAAGGCAGCCAGAGATTATATCTGTTAGTTATGGTGATGCTTGAGGATGTACTTGATATGATGATACAGTGTGGCCTTGTTCACTTGGTCACTAGAAAAGCACATTCTTTTTAATCACCACATTAAATAAGGGAGAATCCCTCTTTTGCAATGATGTGTAACAGAAGAACTTGTTTTGTTAAAACCAATCTTATTGGAAAATATTGGTGAATATTGGTGCAAAACAAAGCTAGAAGCCATTGACCAATAGTAGTAAGTTTCAGAATGCAAAACAATAATTTCTGAATATATACTAATCTATCTTGCTCACCCTTAGCAAGTCACTTCCCCATTAGGTTGGTGGGTCAGGATTCAATCAAAATATTTGTATGCCCATCAGCAAAAGTAGTTTGGTTCCATTTGAGACAAACAGCACAGCCAGAGGAGAAAGATTGCAATAAACTTATTAGTACAAGTAGAAATAAGATATTGGTGCACTGCAGAGATTCAGCCTGCAAAAGAATCAATACACTGAAGGAACGATTCATGAGTGTCTGTGAAGTCCTGTGGACCAAAGATTAAAAAAATACTGTTCAAAAGAAGCTACTGAAGTCAACTATTATTATTGATGAGCTCTGATTTGGGTTCTAGCTTGCACACTTATATCATCAGGGCGGAACTGCTGGTAGAAGTATAAGCAAATGACCTAAACACTAAGGAGCAGCAAGCAGTGCCAGAAGAGAGCGGTCCACAAATCTATGGATCGTCCATTTCATCGCCACTTTCAGGTTTAGCAATGCTTACCAAGTTTTGAAGCGGGACATCAGAAGGGATATTTTTATCTTTGTCCCATCGAATAGATAAGGAGGATCGTCTCAAATTATCGGTTTGATCTCTCATGCTTACTAGTGACGCTATCAGATCCACTTCTTCTCCCTCTTTTTCATCGGTGGCTCCGCTTTGCAGCCAGGAGCATTCTAGTGATTCCGACGCTGTCCATCTTTGTTCAGGATCTGCTATTAACAGGTTTTCAATCAAATCCCTGGCATCAGGTGATATGTTTTCCCAGTCTTCTTGGTAGAACTTCCAATCACAGGTACGAATCTGTGCGAAAAGCTCAGCGTGAGTTTCTTTTGCAAATGGAGGATAGCCGACCAAAAGGAGATAAATGATCACGCCAACACTCCAGAGATCGGCCCTGTGATCGTGAGGGATGTTTTTCAATATTTCCGGGGCAACAAAAGTTGGCGAACCACACCGACTTGTGAGGCAATTTGGTGCGTACACCCTTCGTGCAAAGCCAAAATCTGCAACTTTAATATTGGAATCATCGTCCTGTAGCTACGAGTATTTGTTTGTTTGTCATGAAATGAAACACGAGAGAAAAAAAGTCAGAACCATTGAATCAATACATCAAACGACCTACTGTTGACGAGAGCGTAAAGTCTTATTGTTTAGAACTTACTCGTAACAACAAATTTTGTGGCTTCAAATCACGGTGCGCTATCCCTGCATCGTGCATACATTTGACAGCACCCAGAATACTCCTCGTAAGCTCTTTTGCATCTTTTTCCGTGTATTTGCTCTTTTTTGAAAGTCGGTCGAAAACATTGCCCCCATTCATGTATTCTCGTATCAAATAAAAAAAATCCTCCTCTTCGTAAAAATCACAAGCCTGAACAACGAATTTTTTGTGTATAGAAAGTGATTGCAAGATGGAAGCCTCGTTCAATACGAATTCATCTTCACTATGTCGCAGCTTCTTCCGACGGATTATCTTCACTGCGAACATTTCCCCCGTTTTTTTGTGACGACATTCGTGGACAGAGGCGCACGCTCCATCACGAATCTTATGCAAGAGCTCATACTCATCATAGAAGGTAGATTTGGTCGGAGAGTGAAGAGCTGCATTCACAGCATCGTCATTCATATTTATCCTAGTTGACCATTTCGAGAATGTTGTCGTTTCTGGATTCCAAAAATTTGCGGAAACTGCGAACCTCACTGCGCTCATTGCGGCCTTCAAACCACATTCAATGAAAAAGTCGATAATTGAACAGAACACGCCCGTAAGTTTTCTTCTGAAAGTGAACCATTGAAGACATTTTGCAAATATAAAGTCATTATTCCGAATCGATCGTATCAAAATTTTCTTACCTTCAAAGACAACCTTCGGTTAAATTCTTTGATTAGAGTTAGAGAATCTTTCAAATCATTAGATTCAAGTGATTTTTTTTCCATCTTTCGTATCCAGTCACTCTCCAAAGCTTGTTTTGCTGTGTACCGATAGTCAGGGTCCACCGTGAGAAGACGAGCGATAAGGTACTTGGCTTCGCGACTGACATTTATCCATTGCGATTGACGGAACATAAAGTCCCCACCTCGTATCTTACGAAATAAAGTTCGAAGATCATTTGCACCTTCTATGAATGGATTGTATCCTCCAAGCAGCACGAACAGGATGACGCCTATAGACCACATATCAGCAGCTTCGTTGTAATTCCTCCCTAAAATAATCTCTGGAGCAACGAAAGCTGGGGTGCCACACCGCGTTTTCAGGCCTTTTTCTGTCACACGACGAGCAAAGCCGAAATCTGCAAGGTATACATCCTTTGTACCATCAATGTCATCCCCTTCCAACAAAAGATTCTCTGGCTTTAAATCACGATGGACAATTCGATATTTGGTGTGCATCTCATCCAAAGTTTTGAAAAGAACGAGGGCAATATCTCTTGCATTTTTTTCTGTGTATTGCTTTTTCTGAGAAAGTCTAAAGAACAAATCTCCGCCTCTGGCATATGACTGGACAACGTATAAATGTTGAGGCTCGACCATAAAGTCTACAAGCGTAATGACATGTGGCACTTCTCTCAACTCCTTCATCATCTCAACTTCTCGGAATACGGCTTGAACATCCTTTTCTCTCAAACTATTTCGATCGATTACTTTCACCGCATACTCCTTTTCTATGTCCGAGATGGGGTTGCATAACCATACTGTGCCGTAACCTCCTTTGGCGATTTCCTTCTGCAACACGTAGCGGGAACGAAACTCTTGTGTACCATCTTGTTGCTCTACACTTTTCGCTCCGTCGTCGTTTGTTTCGTTGTCCTCAGCAGAAGCAATCATTTTCTTGCACAGGGTTGAATCCGCGGTGTACTGCAATAAGACGTCGTCCTATCTTCCCACTGAAAGTTGTATGTCGAGCTTTGAAATAGTGTGTTGCGTCAGACGAGAGTGTTGACAGCACATACAGTACGTTACTGTACCGTATCTAATACTATTGATGAATTGATGAATTCGTCGTTCTCACAGTAATTACTGTAATGATCGGCGACTCAAGTTACAGTACGGTATGTGTGTTACTATTATATCTTTGGAGGAGCTCGCGCAGCGCGTGTACCGAAATCGTACCAGAAAATGTACTCTGTTGAGCTCGTCACTGAGATCGAGAGCTAACGAGATCGAAGTGAGGTTACTGCGACTATGGTACTTTCTTCAGCAACATTGACAACAAGCTCTCGTTCGAGCTTAAATGTTAGATACTAGTTTGACTAGTGTTATGCAGTAAAAATGAAATTGAAAAAAATCCCTGGGGTTAAAATTTTCTTATTCCTGCCACTGATGGAATATGAATTTCGAAGCGTTGCGCACGCACCCCTCTAAATTACTGTATGAGCCCTGCTTCCTCGTGCCGGTACAGTAAAAAAGATCACAAGAAAAATGGGAATGGAACAGTCCACACATTGGCGATGTCGTCTTGGTCTTTTTCGAGTGATTATTGAGGCATAAAAGGCAAAAATCATAACGATGACCGATGGAACCTCCTTACCACATACCGGCCCGGTACTTGGTACTGTACGGTACGTAAGTACGGTGGGTTCTAAAAGGATTCTTACTACAGTACAGTACGTACAGTAATTTCAGTAGAGTACGTACTTTACTCACGTGTACCCGTGCCTGTACAACAACTCCCTATTTACCCTAACGTAAAAGTACGAATAAGCTTCTAACGAACAATTCTGTACTGTAATAAATACTTCATACGGTTCTTTTCTTCTACGGTATTACATTCAGGGGTCATAATTTAGACCCCTGATTACATTACAGTACATTAGTATTATTTCGTACAGTATTTTTTAATTTTTTAATCGCTCGGCATCAAAAGAAATCACACGCTCCTTCCGAAGGTTTCACAACCTACCCAGGACATCGGGAAAAACATAAATAACAGCATCTACGACACCTTCTAGTAGCTAATCGATTCTGTAAGGCACATTTCACAGGCGTGCATCCGATTTGACAGGTAGTTTGAAAGAGGACTCGACGACCTATCGATGACTCTGCACCCAAACGACCTAGCTTCGGACCTTAAACCTTTCACTAACGTTGGCTCAGGTTCTGATTTTTAGGGGATCAAACAATGGCAGAAAATTCAAAGGATGGACAAAACAAGCCGACTAATGGAAGTCACTCGGAAGATGGAAAGAAACGCACAAGCTTGACAAAAATAAAACGTAAGAAAAAGAAATCTGAAGGCAAATCGAAGTCCACTAAAAAAAATTCTGGCGATGTAGATTGGAATCCAAATCCCGAAGACTTGCGTGCACAAAAAGACAGAACATTTTCGAATGGTTCAGACCAGAAGAATCAGCCACATAGAGTCCGAACGTCGCTGACTCTTACCGATGGATCATCTGAGCAGCGTAAGTCATTTCCGATTAGGGAACAAAGCCTTCAAATGGCCTCATTCATTTGAGGAGGAAAAGAAAGCTAAGGAAGGGCATTCATTTCTTACCAGCGTTTCTTTTCAAAACTGATAATCCTACAGCAGGTGTTCAAAAAGAGCAAAGAGGATCGAGGAAAAACATAGAAAAGCCACACTCGTCGAACAAATTCGCCGCGGAGAATACAGATCGCACAGCGTCGACGGGCGAGTATGAAGAAAAGGAAACGAATCGGAGTAGTAGTCGATTGCTAGGAAATAGGGCACAGGATTCAAATGGACGCAAAGAAGATTCGAGACCTTGTGTTCCCCCGAGAGGTAGCGATAGGCAAAGAGTGTGTGGAAAAAGCATGGACAAGCCACCTTCAAAGCCAAAGAAGCGAACAAGTTCAATAAAAAAACAAAAAAGTGATGACGAGATGGACACCTACATTAGCGACGACAAGCAGCCGGAAAAACCAAAAAGGAAGAGCCGAGTTTCGCCTAAAAATAATATCGAAGATGAACATGATGACGATCTTGGTCTTCGCACTTTTCATAATCTTAGGATAGACTCTGATAAACCGAAGTCAAAGAACAGTAGGACACGAAAGAAGGCTACTTCTGGAGAAAGGTCAAGTGGGCGACGAAAGGAGAAAGCTCCTGATCGCTCTAAAAGCCTTCCGGCTGGACAAAACACGGAAAGCTCCGATGATGTGGGTAGCACCAGCGAAGTAGATGTAGAAGATGAGGGCAATATACAACCGGAGAGAATGCGGTCAAGTAGGGAGCGTCGCAATAATCAAAAGCGTCTTGATTCAAACGATAGCTTTCGCAATTCAGGAAAGGTGGATACCATCAACTCCAATGATACGCGTGTAAGCAGAAGTTCTCACTCTTTGAGAAGATCAGGGGTCCGTCGCTCGAGGTCTGAACGTTGGAATAAGGCAGTCGAAATAATGGACAGCGATGGCACAGACGACCATCACTCAATCAATAGACGAGCTCAAGAATCGCTGAATCGAGTAAATGATGGTTTCTCTAGATCGGGACATTCTCGGATTAGACGACATCATAGTGCTGGTCTGACAAAGATGAGTAGATCAATGAGAAGTTATTCACATCATGATATTGATTATAAACGCCTTAATTCTATCGATGGAAAACGTTCATCGAGGAGAGCAATGAGGCATCGCCATGAAACTGATTCTGAAGAATCTTTTTTGGACGATAATATTGATACTGCTACACTTGAAAGCATTGACGACGAATACGAGGATTACGAAGAAGACGTTTACAGGATGGAGCTACAAACTCCTGGGATGATCGATTTTGAGGAAGAGATGTTTGATCTTATGCAGCGTGCAAACCCTGAAGTTACAGATCATCTGGATCGTAGGGTGCACCGTAAGCGAGAGATGGTTGCATTTGACCATAACATGCCTATGATGACTAGGCAGGCTCTTCTTACTCGGCAAGCAAGTTCTCGACTACGAAGACAATTCCTTGACGGAAGCAATGTTGACAAGAAACGACTTCTACTCCGGAATGATTCCATGTCATCTTCCGATGGACTCGCAATGTCTAATCATCGACAAATGCGAAGTGCACACAAAAGACGAGTGCCACCTCGTGCGAAATCGTCTGGGTTGGGTGGAATGGGTCGTGTTGGTTACTCCGACTCTTTCAAGTCCGATTCAGTTGATCGTCGTGGTGCATTTCGCTCTCAATCCATTCATGGTAGTCACCCAGCGTCCTTTAACCAATACTACCAGAATAAACCGAATAGAATACGGTCGTTATCGCGCCGAGCTTCTGGTGACTTGATCAATCCACATTCAATGCGTGGGTCGTCTCGGCCAAACAGTCAACTAGCCCACCAAAGGGCAATTCAGCGAACGACTTCTTCAACGTCTCGGAGAAGATCCGCTTCATCAGATCAAACTCTGTCTCGAAAACAAGATAGCAAAATCTATACAGAAAAGAATCAAAGATCAAGTAACACAAGAGTGTTTCCTGATGAAGATCAAGATACTGATAATTTCGACGAACAACTTGAGCATGAAATCTCAAAGGGCAATTCCAGCACATCTTCGTTTTTGACAGGAAAATCGAACGGTTCCAAGAATTTCGATAAGAACGATATGGCCAACAAGAGAAATCGTTCCAAGTTACATCTGTTGTTGTACAAGACCAAAATGGCTATTGATATGGATGTTTTATTAAGAAAGGTTCGAAAAGGAGACACGCCCAGATTACCTATCGACTCATTGCGGATGCCATCTCCTTAGCAGACGCTTTCATCTGAATCGAAACGATTGAAGGCTATTATGAAATGTTTCTTCCTTAAGTGAATCAATAGGGACATATACCACTAGTTTCAGAAGATAATGCTAAACCCGTTAATATCATTATTCCATTCTGGATATGTTTTGTTTCAGTGAAATTTGTTATCATTGTTTACAGCAATGTTTTCGAGCTAAATTTTAGGCTGTTCTTCCTTGATGGTTCTCCTACCTGTTCCTATAGATTGGATCTATTTTCTGTTTTGTGTCTGGAAGGCGCGGCAAGAGTATCCAAGTAGTGGGTTGACACTTGGGATCACAAAGAACATAAACAAGTCTTTCAGAGAACAAACGCACATCTGAACTCTTTTTTTGCCAAACAATATGGTGGATACTTATGCTACATGCAGTTGGCTGACACAAAATTCTGGTAGGTAGATGTCTATTGAGGAGTTCAGGCTCCTTGTTATTCCTGTTTATTCTTCTTTGTTCTTTTTACATCAGCATCATCTCAATAGCAATATTCAGCCACTCTCGTAATATCAAAGCATGCTGTCAGGCAATGTCTGGTTGTTGTGAAGAACAATCTACAGAAAAATGCCATATGCAGAATTGAACTTCTACTAGTACAAGGTCCAAAAACTTATTTCATTAGCAATGAAGAGTGTTTAAAGTAATATGAGCTGATGCAAGGAACAATATTCTGCATTTCAAATCCTCACATCTTCAGCCTGTACCTACAAACTGAATTAATGAGGAGTCCTGGGTTCAAGGTTGGATCAAATGAACACTAGTCAAGCTCAACTTTTTTAGAATTTCAAATTGGTGAAAAAAATCAGCCTCTAATTGCAACTCAATCATTTTATCAGAAATTTGAATTAATATCAAGAAACAAGTTCTGTAGAAATGATATTTATTACTGATGACATTTACTACTGCTGGTGGGAAACAATGACTACAAAAAGTAGACCCTGGTAATGACTGTACTCTTGATTCCATTGAAGATCTTTTTAGATAGATTAGCTGCAATTTGATAGTATTCTTTTCTTAGTTGAGCAAGCTTGCAAAACAAGGCTGTTGTTGAAATTCTAATACAATCCTATGGAGTGAAGGGCCACTGAGGGTTGAAAATGCATGATAATTTTTTCTCAATGTAATCCATATCTGAAATAGTAGGCTTCTTACTATATGCACCAGAATGTCAACAGTTGTTCTTGTTGTGTTGTTTAAAAGGAGATTCTACCATTTCTTCCACACATGTAACCAGGGGGGTGAGTGAGCTCCTTCTGCTTCCTCCCTGTCTTGCTTCTGGTCACAGGATTTTTGTGATTATTATCTATTGTTGCTGTTGCCATTGTTTCTTGTTATGCTAGTACCAGTACTATACTACTAGTAATAGTAGTAGTTGCTGCTGCTGGCATCAGGAGCATCAGAAAAAATGTACAAGGTGTTCCAATTTATGATACTCACTTCTTTGATGTAAGAAGTTTGTCAACAAGTATCATGTCTGCTCTGGAGCCAAGAACAACCAAGTGCATCCATGCAGCAGTGGCAAAACTGATACTACTAGTACTACTGGAAGCAACAGCTTCAATTTCTTCTTTTCCTTCTTCTTCTTTGCCTTGAATCTATTAACTCCTTTTTTTAGTAGAGCTTGTTGATACTTGCTTTCTTTTGCTGCTAAAAGGAAATGTGGTGTAAGTGCAACAAGGAACACTAGTGAAGTACACACCTCAGTGGTGAGTGAGGTGTGGGATTGAATTGGTAGTTGTCCTCCAACCAGGTTCCATCTTAGTGCATCACAAACAGCACTGTGTGGTGAATAGCTACTATGTATGTATTGTAGGAGGTTCTGTCTCATCACTACATAGAGAGAGGTGGTGATGTTTGATTGACTACATTCCTGTCCCACTGCTTTGTCACACTAACAGATATAATGTTGTTTTCTTTTCCCATGCGGACAAAAACAAAATTGCTCACATATTTTCTGATGCTCTAATGTGAAACTCATAGGTTATCACACCACACACTTCTCAGCACAAATTTCACACTCAATTTGGGGGTTCTTGCAGTTTTTGTTCCTCATCAGTTTTTCTCCTCACATCAACAAGACAACCACTGTACTGATAAGTTTCTGATGAATGCTCAAAGTATCAAAGCAAATTATTCTTATTCCCTTGTGTTGTTGCCAACATTATCCTGATGACAAATAATCTATATATCTATAAACTATTCTGTTATGACACTTCTGTTATCATATTTTATCGGCCCCCAATTTTTCCCTGACATGCTAGAACTCTCTCTATCTAATTTTCAATAAACTTGCAGTACTGCATTTCATATTATTCTATCTCCAGGAGTGTTTGTTTGTTGTTTCTCAACAAATCGTGATATCTTAAGAATTAAACTAATTTTACTGTCATGTCCAACAATTTGTTGGCGTCTTTGAAGACACTCTTCTGTCACATCAAACAACCTTTCATCTTCTTGCAACTTTCTTTGTTATTCCCCCTTTTCCTCTTTTTCTTCACCCATTGTATCCCAATACTCAGCCATGAGCACCTTCTCAATGGTTCTAGCATTGTCTTCTGCTCTCCATTTTACTATCTCCTTCAGGAACAGTTGACTTGGTGAAATCTGAAGGATACCACAACCTTAGGGGAAAGAAATTTACGCTACTATTGTCATTGGTGGGTGTTTTTTTCCTCCTCTTGTTCTGTGGACATTCATTGGTATCAATATCTGTATTATTGTCTGACGTGTCAGTGTTGTATTCCTTCTTTGCACTCAACATGTTAACCTTTGCATTGATCTCAAGGGGGCATGGACAATTGCAATGTCTGCATATCATTTTTGTGTTTGCAGATGTATAATGGCCACAGAGCTTGTCGTGCTGCTCCAAGTTGCCAATAAAAATGCTACCGCACACTTCATTTTGATGTTATAAAACTTTCCATTCCATGGACAATTGTGCCATTGAATATCATAGGAGGACTCCCATGATGCTTCTCTGACCAAAGCAAAGGCAGGTCGTAAACCATTGTGGAGGATATTGATGTTGTCTACTAACTGGTTGTTTTTTCCTTACAGGTGAAAATATTTTGTCCCCTATCCGCCAGGTCTGGTTGAAGGCTAGTTGTAGTAAGCAAAAAAATAGTATTAACACAGTTGTGGAAATGGTGTGTGGCTGAATACTGGCGATAGCAACAACAAGAAGGAGGAGGCGGAAGTGTGTCAGCACCACTCTCTTTTTGATACTTGTGAATTTAATTGTAATTTGAATTATCTACAGTTTAAATCATCACCTTATTTCATGCAGTTAGCAGCATGGCTCTCTTGATAGTACATACTTATTGATGACAAATATGTTTGAAGCCATTTTTGCATGAGGACAGCTGTGGAATGGAAACATCCACAGTACCGGTACGAGTACATACCCTTTTTGGTCCAAGTTACAATGTGACAGCTTTTTAACAGTATTAATTTTACAGTGCTTCGTGAAACAATAGTCTTAATTCCAACCAGCACAGGCAAGCTGTCACAAAAATAAAAAGAAACTATTTTATACTACCAAAGGATTTTGAGTTTCCAAGCTCACTTTTTGAGAATTCAGATCTGCTAAATTGAATATCTATAGAAACACTACCAAATATAAATCCATTCCAAAGAACAGATTTCTCTTAACATAAATCACTTACTACTGGAAGCTACTCTTACACTTCAGCAACTTCACCAACTACAGGATCAGCATCAACTAATCCTTTGACTCCATCCAGTACTTCAATAGGCATATTGGAAACAACTCTCTCTTCTTCAGTCAAGCTTCTTGCAATGAAGGACAGTGCTTGGTTCCTCTCTCTCTCTCTCTCTCTCTCTCCCTTCTATATGCAGTTTCTCTGATAGTTATCTCATCCTCTTTCAGTTTCTTTAGCAAAGTCTCATCAGCATCAGTCCAAGAAGCTGATGGAGGTGTGGGAACATTTTTCTCTGTCATCCACATATCCAACAGCTTGTCCTTCTTGGCAAAGATTTTCTTTTGCTGCTTCCAGTGGCACAAAACCTTCACAGTAGAAACTGGGAGGGTCTTTGCATATTCCTCCTTCTTAACATCTTTTCCCTTTGAGGCAAAATTCTTAATCAAACCATGAGCTTTGCTGCTCAAAGCTTCTGCTGCTTTTGCAACCTTCTTCTTTGCTTCCAAGTATTCAATCTCATCCAATTGTTTGGTTCTTTTCTTGGGAATAAAATAGTCCTTTGTGTTCAGTGTATCTCCGCCAGTTGCGATGAAGTGTTGGCTAGAATATTTGACGCCTGCAATTGCATCTTACCAAGCCCTCGTATTTGGTTCCGTCACTTGTTCTACCAACTGCTTACTCTTTTGTGGTGCATATTTTGGAAAACTTCTGTTAAAACTAGCATTGTTCAATACTTTAATTGCTGCAGAATTCTTTTTCTTGTGTGCTACCAGTGCAGCTATGTTGGGATGGGTTGCTAGATCAATGGAGACATCCAGCAAAAGGATCAGTTTGTGTTGCACTTTTTGTCCTGTACGCATTTGCAGGTGAATGGTGCAATTCCAATGGTTCTCCATATGTCTTTGCATCAGTCTATCAAAAAGCCTCATCAAAAGCAAAATCCAAAGCTACTTTCTCATTCCTGCCATTGTGCTTACCAAAAACTAAAAGCAGATAATCTGACTGCCAAAGATTATCATTTTTCATTTGGTGGTAGTGTGCAAGTTTTTCCAGATTTTTTTGGTAAAGGGTTTTGAAATAACCATAATTGCAATCCGTTGGCTGTGTAACATGTGTTGTATAGGGTATCCCAGGATGAAGAAGAAAACCACAAGCTGCAAGGCTTGCCAATAATGCTTTGTTGTTTCTCCCTGGCCCACTGTCAACAATCAACATTATGCGTTTGCCTGGCAAATCTGCAGTATCTGGATAAAGCTTAACAATTCACATCCAAAACATACTTTTCAAACTCTTCACCATCCATGTGATACAATCACCGTCATACTTTCCCTTTGTGTTTTGAATACCATTGACAAATAATTCATGGATTTGGTTCTTCTCCTCCTCCATGGCATTTGATTTCAATTGGAAGTGCAGTGGTAAAGGAAATCCAGCAGCGTTGCTACCAGCAACCAAAGTGATTTGTGAACTGCTTTTGTTTGTCCTGTCAGCTCCACATCCAACATAGTTATCAGCAGATCCATAGGCTATTGACTGCCTTCTTCCTCCAGCTTGGCTACCATTCCCATCCAGTGTCAATCCTGATTCATCAAGGTTGATAATTTGATTGAGTTGTCCAGGAAAAAACACCAGCTCACCTTCCAGGATTTCATTTTCTTGTTTCACTCTGGCAAATCCTTTTGCAACAAGTGTGTCCTTTGGTGTATTGAACCAAGTATTAACATTATTGTAGGTCGTACACTTCAATCAACGCTCTTCAATTTTTGTTTTGCTTTTGGCAACTCTCAAGTGTTCTGCAAAGGTTGGCAGTGAATGTTGGTAGAGACTCACAAAATTGCTGTTTAGCAGACATGGACCAGGTAAAAGACATGCTTTCAACATTGAGACAAACTCTGTACATTGGGGAATCGTCTCCTTTTCCTCACATGCTAAAGTAACAAACAATGACACTGCGTCAGCTAGTGCTGCTTTGATTGCTGGTGGTAGCAAACTTTTCTGGCCACATCCAGGGGGCCTGAGGTCGTCCTTCAAATGTTGTCTGATGGTTTTTGCCTTCAATGACGTGTTGCAAAGCAAATTCACTTGAGACACAATGCTCACAACAGATGAACTGGAGTTTAGTGGCAAATTTTCTTGCTTGTACCTGACTTTCTTGGTGGCTGCTTCATACGCATCATTGTGAGCTTGTTTCTGAAGAAATTTGTTTACCATCTTGATATGAGCTTGTTTAGGAGTATCAGGACCCTCATCTAGTAGTTGTGGAGCTAGCGATCCCGCCTCCTTAGTAGTAGAAGTATCATCCTTCCTTGCTGTTACTGCAGGGGGGGGGGGGTGACAAGAACGGATAATTTTGTTATCAGGTCTTCAACAGTTAGGCCAGATATTTTTGCCAGCTCCTCCAACAAGTTGATGAATGCAGCAGGACTTTCCTTGGAAGAGGTTAGACATGATAGTTCTCCTCCTTCACCATCATTAGTACAATCAAGGGAATTTGGAGGGCCCAGAGGTCCCTTAACCATCCTTTCCATGCATTGCTGTACTCTTCTTTGCAAGGCCTTGTTACTGGTTTCTTTGTCATTAAAATGAGCAAATATCATAGCTCTCCTCACAGAGCACTGGAGGCCTCTAGACCTTGATCCAAACAAGTTCTCAGCAGCCAGTGTTGTTCTTTCACAAGCTGTGACAGCGCGTCCTGTGTGCACTGATCCAACTACAACTGTGTCCCTTACTGCTGCTAGCGGCTGCATCTTCATTGTTGTTGTTGTTCTTCTTCTTCTTCTTCTTCATCATCATCATCATCTTGGTACCAAAATACAGCAAAAAATGTTTTTTTTTTTCAAAATACTCGGTCAATTTGCAACTTCCAGATCTCCTTTCCTTTATTATAATGAATAGAATGCAGTGTTTGTTCAATTCGGAGGAAGAAAGCAATGTCTTTGTTTTGCTTGTTACACTGTAGCTCTTTCTGTTGCAATTTTTTGTTGATTTTGCTACTGTCAATGCTGCTCCTCCAGAAAAATGCGGTCAATCAATCTGAAACTTCCAGATCCTCTTTCCCATAATGTAAGGATTAGAACACTTATCTTGTGATCGCTATTGGTTGGATATCAATCAAGAACTAAAGATTTGACAGGAGCTTGCTATGATGAGTTTGTGTTAATGAGTTTTTTTCTTAATTTTCATGCGCAGAGAAATCAACAAGCCCGAAAAGAAGGTTCTCTGGCAAGAAACCCATACAATATGCACATCATGTATCAAAAGACAAGAGAACACCCTTTCTGACTGACGGATTCTCTGATTCTGATTGGTGCTTTTGCTAGCATTAAAAAGCAACCAAAGATAGGAGCAAAAAACTGGTGCATTTTATGTACTAATTACCTGTTAGAAATCAATAGTCTTATTTCAAGAAACTCAAACAAGTACGAGGTAGGAAGGCAAATGTGTGGACCAAATTTGAGACAGGTTATGAATACAAGAAAACCGCACAGTTTTTACTAGTACTAGTCAGAAAAAAACCAGCATGAGGTTTGTCTCACCCTCCAGACAGAGCTATTGGGGACACTTCCCCTCCACACACCATAGTATACTGGAATAACTTCATTATACTAATAAGAAGGGGATCAAGAAGTCTCAGATCAATGACCAACAACAAGTGTTTTTTAAATTAGAGTTTTCCATATCAGGATCATAGCATCTTACGTACAAATTATTACTACCAAATCTTTTGATACAAAAATACATATTGTTTTTTAAAAATTGAGACAAGTTTAAGTTGCGAAGGCAAATGAGATGTATTGTTCCTTGCGTAGAGCCGTGTACAATTTGTAATGACTCCGGACCTGTCTCCACCTCATTTGCCTTCGTACCTCGTACCGTACAGTATGGTACGGTAGCGCCACTTTGTGAGTTCTATCTTTGATTCGGCTGAGTCGAAATATTATCCTCCCCCTGCCAACACCAATGATTCGGATGTTTTTGTTCCCCTTAGAAATTTTTGCCGAACTTCGTTACTGTATCACGACCTGTTCAGATCACCATCTTCCAACAATCATACGTCGAATATTCTGTGTTGAATAGATAGCCCAATATCAAGTCAACCGACACTTGCAGTGGCGAAGAAAATTATCCAGGTCACCGAATACCGAGTCACTTCACAAGTCAAAGATGGGTGAGGGAGGAAAACTAGTTGTTGGGCTCCATTTCCCACAGACTACGCGTAAGTTTCAATTGATTTGTTCGTTCTCGCTATTTAATGGTGCTCGGATCGCACGCATATCATCTTCCCTTCTACGATATGTTGATATCAATATCAAGTCCGTGTATAATTCGTAATGTAATGACGTTTAATCGAAACGAGTGAGGTATTGCGATGCAAATCATCTGTATCCTATCATTGAATAATGGCGGGTATCTAGTAGAGAAATGCTATGGCGTCAGACAAGGTCTCTTAATATTTTTTTCTCTATTTATACTAAAACCGAATATTTCTGAAAATGCAGCGGATGCGTCTCAACTGCTGCAGTCGGCACGAGAGGATGGATATGACTATGTGACGACTGCTCTCCCATGTACGGAAAGAGCAAAAGTGAGAGGAGACGTGACATCTTTGACGGGGCGATGGTGGAGGACTTCGGTCGTAGGGATCGTGCAGCAAGACAACTCCCAAGACTCCTTTTTTCAAAAGATAGGAAAACAGATCGAGTGGGCTATCCATATGGGAATTCCGGCAGTGATTTTGCCGCCTCCTCCCTACGGCGGACTTCAAGATTACGCACGAATGATTCTATCATTGGGATTGGAGGCTCAAGCCAGCAATCTACAAATTTGGATTAAAACACGGTTGAATGTATCATCTCTTGAAAACTATGAGCGTTTGCATCGTCTCTGTGACGGATTGTCAAATATTGGAATTATCCTCGAAATGGAACCGATGTCGACAATGAGTTCCGCGTCGGCAACCGTCGGCACCCAGATGATTTTAATTCACAAAGCTATAGGAATGCAACTTAAGGCCATCACATTCCCAGCAAAAGCATTTTTGACAAACAAAAAAGGATATCCCACATTGGCGAAGAGCCACCAGGTTATCTTAACCCAAACATTGAGGCGAGTTGGAAGAACCTTGAGGGTATTGATCGAAGGTCCGTCTGTGCATGAACATGTGTCTATGACTGGTGAAACAAAATGCATGTCTTACCTACAGTACATTCGCCACATGCGAACCAGAAGTGAAGTCACATCTGTTCTGGATACAGAAGAAGCTACGTTGGAAACGCCATACTTAGATAGTCTACAACGCCCATTGCAACCCTTGAAAGATCATTTGGAATTTTCTATGTACGAAACTTTTGAGAAAGATCCAGTAAAATATTCAAAATATCAAGAAGCGGTGTACATGGCACTCAAATCTTTGAATTTGTCACCTGATTCACCCAAAACAATCACAATAGCTGTTGCAGGGGCAGGGAGAGGCCCACTTGTGATGCGCTCTATTCAAGCATTTAATCAGTTGCAAACTCCGTCCAAGAACCTCACTCTCAAAGTCTACGCATTGGAAAAGAATCCATCAGCAGTTGTGTATCTGAGAAGTATGACCGAAAACAACTCTGTGTGGAAAGGTATTGTCACTGTTGTAAACACAGATGTAAGAAAATTGACCAGGGACCACTTGAATGGAAATGAAATTGACATCATCGTTTCTGAGCTGCTGGGTTCATTTGGTGATAACGAGTTGTCCCCAGAATGTTTAGATCCCCTCCTCGAATCTGAATGTTGTAAGAATTCGACTATTTCAATTCCAATGCAATATTCTGCTTTTGTGGCGCCTGTCTCCAGCTCTCGATTGCATATTGAAGCCACTCAACAAGCTCAAGTTCCACACGAAGGTGCTCAGCCATTAGGAATTCAAAGAGCCATGGAAACTTCATATGTGGTCAGAACGCACTCGGCTAGTCAGACACACGTCGAACAGCTTTGTTGGACCTTTGACCATCCCTCCACAACTCAAGACAAAGAGAGAACAGCAACATTAGAATTCTCACCAGACCCAACATTTGCTGCACAACTAGGATGTGGATATGGGCCTGCGGATCCCGCAATATCTGGCATTGTTTCCGAAGCTCCGACAGCATCGACTGGTGGGATCACAATCCATGGCCTTCTTGGATCCTTCACAGCTGTTCTCTTTGAAAGCGGCGAATCACGTTCCGAGATTTCCATTGCTCCACATGAATTTTCGGAAGGAATGTTTTCTTGGTTCCCTATTTACTTCCCCTTCCGCGAGCCGCTTCGTGTCCCTGCGGGGAGTAATATGAGCGTGAAAATGTGGCGTAAGACCAAAGACGCAAGAGTTTGGTTCGAATGGTGTGCCACAGTACATCGTGATGGAGAGATTCTTGCAACATCACCGATCCATAATCCAAATGGCAGATCTAGCTACGTATCCATGTAAAATTGAAACGTTTAAGTGGGAAGTTTGGCGTATCAAATGCGGCTTAATGTTGAAGAGGCTTATTATTAATGGTTCATCGAAAGTTAATCCGAATGAAAAGTGAGCAATACTAAAACTGAGATTCGAAAATAGTTCCACTCTCATGGTCCATTTCTACACGAAGGCCCTAGGTTCTGATTTCTTTCATGTTCTTATTATGCCATGGCCTTCGCATKTTCGACGACAATATCATCACAAATGAAGTCATTTTTCAGCCCACCGGCAGCCTTGATGTGCACAAAATCATTCTCGTAGCTGTCCTTCATGATTGATTCGACAGTATCATACTTCGGTGACCAGTCGAGATCCGTCATCGCTTGATGAATGTTTGTGAAAAAATGTTGAGGACGCATAGGGAACGCCTTGGAAATTTATAGGAAGAAAGAACGAAAGATGAGTTACCCAGTCCAATTAAATAATACTTCTTGATACATCATGATGATTCACGGCGAGATTCAACGAACGTACTTTCTTTCCCTCAGGGAAGGAAATAGACGCTGGATCGTAGTGAATGATTTCCACGTCCTTTCCGAGAACTTTTCCAGCTGCCTTCGCAACACCGTCGAAAGAGATAGCTTGAGAATTCTGCAGATTGTAAACTTTTCCAGTTGTTTTCTCCTCTCTACCGATCACATTAGTCATTGCAGTGGCCAAATCTTCAACGTGCCCCAATCCAGTTAAATGTTGCCCGTGACCTGGGATACATACTGGTCGATCACCATCTGCGCGTTCAAAGAAATAACGTTCTACAGGATTGTAGTTCTGAGGACCACAAATGTAAGTTGGTCGGAAACTGCACCAAGGGATGTTCAACTTTCTCAAGCAATCTTCGGAGTCGAGCTTTCCTTTATGACGAGAATTGGGGTCCACGGGATCTCTTTCAAGATGTGGCATCTCATCCGACTTCAAGTAGACACCAGCGGAACTCATGAAAACATATTGCTTGAAGTTTGGTTGGTTGACAAATAGCTCTGCCAACGGCTTCGTGTCGGTAACTTCTCTCGCATTCATGTCGAACACGTAGTCATACTTAGAGGGATCGATGCTACTTTTTAATGATTCGGGATCCTTGCGATCCCCCTTTATGGCTGTCGAAGCTGCCAATCGAGCTTGGAAGTCGACATCCGATTCCCTTGCTACGGGCCTTGGGTCCGTTTTTCCTCGGTTGAAAACGGTGACATCATGGCCTTCGTCGTAGAGGGATTTCCACAAGTACGCACCAGAAAATCTGGTGCCTCCAATGACGAGCACATTAAAGGCTTCAACGGAGCAGTCTACTGCTAAAAGGGCAAGGCAAAGTTGGCTGAAACGAACCATGGTTCTTCTGATTGACATGATGTTGTGAGATCCCATTATCGTCGTGTGTCGTGTCAATTTTCCTTGCATTCATTTTCTCAATGAAAGCATACAAGTACGTACGTAGCACACATTACGAAAAATTGCCAGATTCTGTAGTTACACTACCGGTAGGTAACATTGTAAATAGTACCTACGAAGGAAAGTACTGTTCCGGACGTAACTACTCTTGTACTAGAAGTACGGTACGAGAGACGGTTTTCAAAAGTTGGAAACTCGGCCGACAAATGCTTTACGACGATGATCATATCTTTCTGTCGTGTGACGTCACGCAGTGATTTTGAAAGTCATATCTGGGCCCTCCGGAACCTACGCGCGCATCCCCCCTTTGAAATCCAACATTCGGGGGCATGATTTTCGTGGGTTATGGGTTATTTTTCCCATGGAATAACCCACCATTATAAAACGTGGGTTCTTGGGTTAACCCAAGAATAACCCACAAAGTAACCCACGAATAACCCACGAATCTGCTGGGCCTCTTTTCAAACATAAAAAATAGTGCATCACACAAATCAGATCCATGGTATTGCGCATTTGCACAGTTCTTGTCACCATGGAATTTTCAACGTCCTCCACCCTTAGTTTTTCCTGTTGGAATAAATTTATGGAAAAATCTATCAAAACTCTGTTTCCCCAGAACATGCTTTCAGAATGACCATACATTTACTTTGAAGTAACACAACTCCATGCTGTAAGCACCAAAAAAGTCACCCCTCCCACGGAACTCATTCCATTCTTTATTCTACTATTAATTATACTAGGAACGGAGTTCTGAACTCACTCACCATATACTCTGCTGCTACTATCGTGCCCAGCACCCCCCAGCAAGCTGAAGGTATTCTGTCAAAACTGTCATGGGTCAAGAGATAATAGGAGAAACCAGGGATTCAAAAATTCAACTAGTACCGAGCACATGTATTTTGTATGTATTTAATTTTTTAGACAAAATAGTCATTACACGCAAAAATAAGGGCCCAAAATCTACGACTGGATTGTAGATTTGCTAGCCAACTTTATACAATACAATGGGATGCCAGTCTTTCTTTGAGGCTTGAATAGCACTCTTGGATCCATCAGCTGCGACCCAAATGAATTGTTCTCTAAGTTATGGATACTTGTTTCCAATAGCTATTGTAAACTTGGCTTGGAAATGTGCAATACAGTTGGAGATTTTGTGCCCTTATTTTGCATGTAACAACTTCTTTTACTAAAAAACTGGCTTGTGCTGCAGTTTACAGCTGGGCACATGCTGAATTTTTGAGTCTCACCAGTGTGTGCCCAAACAGTTTTGCATGTATGTGCTCCAACTGCTCATTTTTGCTTCATCACATGCAACTGCTGTACTGGTAGTAAAAGTGTGAATTTTTAATCCCACAAGTCATTACACAAAAAAGATAGCCCAAAATTGACTCACAGTACAAAATATGTGTAGAGCATAAGTAAGGGCCAACTCACTTGAACAGCTAGTATAACTTGGTCCCCAACAGAAGCTTAAGTATGATAGGCACATGATTCAAATCCCAGTAAAAAGATGAATATAGTCATGTGGGGGGTTATAGTGGGTCATCAATTATTGAACAAAGCTATTTAGGGCTCTATATATCTGAATTCAAAATGTATGATTGGCACGTCCTGAAACTCATGGCCCATGCTATATGATGATATAATCATCTGCTTCTTTCTTATTTGGAACACTGACCATGGCAAGTGGATGTTTGTCAAGAACAAGGAGGAGCACTCTTCTGGAATTTTTGAGCCACTTACACATCACTGTGGATGTCAAGCCAAATGTCATGGCCATTGATCTAGCAACAGATCCTCTTGTCCTGAACCACCAATAGAGAACCAGTTCAATAGTAGCACAGATTGTGTCAACCTCCCTCCTTTCTCCCTTGGGCTTTCCACTGGGATAACAAGTAACTTCTACAATCTTATTGTTAGCATCAGCAGTGTACTTGTTGTAAACTGGAGCAAATAGGTCAAGGAGCTCTCTGAAGACTTTGTGGTCTACACCACAGCAATTGAGGAGTGCTTGATCAAGCCCTGAGTAGAAGGGATGGTGAAAGGAAGATTCAGCATGTCTACAGATTGCAATTTCTGGTGTTCTCAAGTCCCTCCTCCATCTCTCTTATGGAGATGTTTTTTTAAATAACTTTGGGGTTGCTGCTGGTCATTCAACTGAATGTATCAGTATATCATAATGTTCTCCATGACTTCTATTGTTGCAATCTCCTTCCTTTTTGCTAGGAGGAAACTCTGGTCTAGTAATAGTACAACAAACAAGTAAATTTTTGCTACAACTGTGAGTATCTGAAATTTATGTGTTCCTTTTACTAACAGGAATATCTCTAGTAGTGGCATATATTTTGTACAGATGAAATTTCATGTTTATCTTAGTACCACCAAAGTGGCGTGTGCACCAATTCCGCTTTTTAGTCTTTATGTTGAAGTGTACTGTAGTTAAGATTCCAAATTCCCAAAAAGACCGGCAACAAGCCAGCATTCCCTGTTTTCTGTCCCTTGGAAATGTTATTCCCACTATTCTAAATGTGCTAAATATGTTAAACTAGCACATTTAGAATAACGGGAATGACCCAATGAATAAGATTAATATGAACTCTAAATTAACGCCAAATTGCTCTAGAATGACATCGTGAATACCAGAGGTACGTCTTGGCTAGCCAGAGGTGCAAATTTGTGCAGGTCTGTGAGGGCGTTTTTTGACAAAAACTTGGTTTCCCGAAAATTTGAAAATTTTCAAGCTTTTGGATTTTTTTCTGATTTCGGCATGCTGTCCAGATTTATTCCAGTGATATGAGTTCCAAAGTGCACTCTCGGTCTCCGTCTCTGTGTCATGCTCCGTATTTACTTGAAAGTAGATACGAACACAATTTAGTCGAGTCTTCCAAGTACTTCGTTTCTCTCTAACGCGAACCAATATTTGGCTTATACCGCCAGTACTCCAGATTCCCTCCATAATGCAGGACATGTCGAAGTCCAAAGTAGTGGTTGTCATTTACCAATTTGAAAGGCACATAGGCACATATTTCTGGATGAGATAAGCAAACGCTCTGTAAAACAGCTTGATCCTCAACAATAATCATATTCTTCTTCAAGAAGCGATCAATTGTCTCCAAAAAGTACTTGTGGAAAGTCAGCCATGCGTCTTTATATCCAACAAATTGCGATCCGCTATGATAAAAGTTAGCTGGCTTCTTGTATTTGTCGTTGAACAATACCTCACTTGGTGGGTTCGGTACGTGGTGAGCCATTTGAAGCATCTCATGATCTGGCACATTTTCACGGTGCAATACCAAAGTCTTCGAATTGTATTTTTTGTTCCGAAAGCAGCCAATATCAGACCAAACAAAAAGGTCGCTGTCGAAGACATTCAACCGTATCGCCTGCGTCACACACCACGATTTACTAAGCCAAATCCAAAAAAGTTGATAGGAGCGATGAATTCTTTGTTCTGGATCTCGATCCAATTGATCTTTCCAAAACGTTTCGGAATAAAGTCTTCCAATAGGGAGATCATCCATAGTCACTGGAACAATAATGGTTCTATTTACGGCGTGACTTCTCAATTCTTTGATTTGGTCTACTAAATCTGGCTCTGTAAAGACAACCATCGCATCCTGAAGACTCAGCATATTTCTCATCCAACCATCGTATTCACTGGAATGGTATTTGGATTTCACTCGAAAATACCCTGTAACGACGGTGTTCGGTGCTTTGATCAAAAGTTTTTCTTTCGAATCCGCAGGAAATAACGTGATCACATCTGAATCCTCAAAGGGAGGTTTGCTCGTTAATAATGTTTGCGCTGATGGAATCTCGATATCTTCACCCCCMACTTTGACCATTATCTTTTTCATTTGATTCTCTTCGTCATCCATCGTCTTTTCAGCTTGCTTGTCTTCGTTGATCTTGGGATTATTTTCTATTTGTTTTCCTATTTGCTTGGCTCCGGGAATTTTGGAATTCTTTCCTATATGAGTTTCTTTTAACTTCTCTTCTATTACCTGGACTTGTTTCTGATTTGCGTCCAGATAGCCAAGGGCATCAGCGATCGGATGGTAAGAACCACTAATATCACTGTAGTCCATAAGTGACAAAAAGTAAATGAAGTATGTTACACTAGTCAAAGAAACTATAATCAACCCGCGAATGAGCCTCCCAGCACGAATCTTAGACTTTTTTTTCTCGTTTGCGGGTGCAGAGAACCTCGGCGGTATTCTAGATCTTCGCTTCCCCATCGTGAGTTGTCGTCTTTTTTCGATTATGGATTATGGTCGGGTCAGATCAGATTTTTTCTGTCCGAACTTGATGCTAAGAGTTTATCAGAAGTCTCCTGTTTGGAATGGATTCGGCAAGAGTTGTGAAGACGGCGACTAGCTCCTTTTGTGTATCATTACGCTGATCATTCGTAGGCAGACATAGCTATTAAAGACACCTGCTGCAGTTTGCATCTCATGGATTGATCGTCTTGAATTATTTCTGATAGTTCGGTACGAAATAAGACTGCTACTGCCGTACGTACGGTAAGAGCGCCATATTACAGGACAGTATTATTACAGTACAGTACTGTATTACTGTATTTGGAGTACTCCTACATACGTACGATACGGTACGCACAAAAGTACGTCTCAATTACAGTTCCTAACATTCGGAACGTTAAATTAACGTTCCCAATGCCTGAATTAACGAAAGTTCAATTGTTATTTTACGCGTAGTACTGTAGGGTACATAATTTAGGCTCACATCGGTACGTACCGTACTTGGTATGGTGCAGTACAGTACCAGTCATCATAGAACTACCTTAGCTCTTCAATAGAGTAATAGAAGTACCGGTACTGCTGATCTCTTTCAAAAAGTCATTCTGATAACCGCACCTATGTGCCGTAGAGATAGAGACATATAGTAATTTATTACGACTATTTACTGTACGTAAGAGTACGTTACTACAACCGGTGCATTGATTGAATACAGTAGTGACGACGAACGACGCGACGTAGCCTTGCTTGCGGATGAAGGATACTCGTAGGTACTTTTGTACGATTATCGATTATCTACAGTACGGTACGTAGTACTTCTACTTTACTGTACAGTACTTCGCAAAGGGTTAACGTCTCGTATTGCTCTGCCGGTTGCCGGTCGCCAGGAAAAACCTGAGTCACCCAAAACCATCACAGTATTTTGTATTTTGTATTCTGCGACTCAGTTCAGCATCGAACGCCTGACATTCCGTACCGTATCAACGGTACAGCATCACTGTGGTGACACATCGATAACATAATTTCTTCATCAACCAAGAAAACAACGTTGTGCGCAAAACCTCGTAACTCATTGCCTTGCGACAAATCATCACCTGTTCCCCTCGCCAATATCCATGAAATTTTACATTCTTGTTTTTTCCAGCATCCTCATCATGACTTCAAGAAGCGTAGTCGGTTTGGCAGCCCCAGCTGCATCAAAGGGTAGATCGATTTACTATTGGTTTCGTCTAGGTGATTTGAGGTTGCATGACAACCCAGGACTTGACCGAGCCACAACCCTGTGCTCGAAAACAGAAAGCAACTTAATCCCAGTGTTTTGCTTTGATCCACGCATTTTTGGAAACGAAGCGAGKGGAGAATTTGGCTCCTTAAAGTGTGGACCGAAGCGGGCGAAATTTGTTATCGAAAGTGTTGAAGATTTGCGTCAATCACTTGAAAAGAAAGGAAGTAAGCTGTTGGTATCCACTGAAAAGCCAGAAGCATTTTTCTCGAAACTTTTGACCGATTCAAACACAAAAAGTTCGAGCAAACTTGTCTACCAGGAAGAGGTCTGCTCTGAAGAAAGAACAGTTGCGTCGAATGTCGAGAAGCTATTTGAATCCAGCGAAGCCATTTGGGGATCCACCGTAAGTAAACTACTGTAGCTGACTTAGTTCGCAATTTGTGACAATTTTTTGAGTCGATTGATCTCATTGCCTGTGAACTCGCATTCTAGATGTACGATCTAAAAGATCTACCTTACAGCCCTGATTTAGAGGATCTGCCCAATGGTTTCACCCCTTTTCGAAACAAGGTTGAAAAAAACTGCAAAATCAGATCACCTTTCCCCGTTCCCAAGGGGTTAAACTCGTTTCCAGACAGTATGGGCGTCGCTAAAGACTACGCAAGTGAGTTACCAAATCTTAAAGACTTAGGTTACACATCGGACCAGATTGATCACGCAAACTCTCAGGATCCTCGAGGAGTCATGAATTTCAAGGGAGGAGAGACCGCAGCTCTGAAGAGGGTGAAAGAATACATTTGGGATAAAGACCTCCTTCGAAACTATTTCGATACTCGAAATGGAATGATTGGTGCAGACTATTCAACGAAGGTATGTACGAACTAAAATGAAAGGAATTGTTCGATTTTTTGGAAATCGATAATTCATCGAAGATTTACAAGCGGTGGAGAAATAAGCGACTAACTTGCTTACTGAATCTTTCTCTAAAATTCATCACCAATCGACAAGTTTTCGCCATGGCTCGCTCACGGAAACCTCTCTCCTCGTTATGTTGCAAACGAGTGCAAAAAATATGAGCAAGAGCGTGTAGCCAACAAATCAACATACTGTGAGTACAATAATTTGATTCAATGATGATGATATCTCTGCTTTTAAACCTTTGGATTGATTGAATCCTTACGTTTGATGTGACTTAACAAAATTATCTCTACATTTCTACTTCTCAGGGGTCGTCTTTGAAATGTTATGGCGTGACTTTTTCAAATACTTTGCCAAAAAGCATGGCGACAAGCTTTTTTATCCTGGCGGAACGATTGGGAGTTCGAAAGAGTGGAAACACTACGACAAAAATTTACGGGCATGGATTGAAGGAAGGACTGGATTTCCACTTGTAGACGCTAATATGCGTGAACTCGCGTCTACAGGATTCCAGTCAAACCGAGGTCGTCAAAATGTTGCCTCGTTCTTGACATTGGAGTTGAATCAAGATTGGCGTTATGGCGCCGAGTATTTTGAAAGTGTCCTACTGGATCATGATGTCCACTCAAACTACGGAAATTGGTGTTCTGCTGCCGGTATGACTGGAGGCAGACTTAATCGTTTCAACATCGTTAAACAAAGCAAGGACTACGACCAGCATGGAGATTATGTCCGTCATTGGCTACCTGAGTTGAAAGACGTACCTACTCAATTTGTCCACGAGCCCTGGAAAATGAATCAGTTTCAACAAATGGAATATAACTGCAACCTTGGAGTCGATTACCCAAATCCTATTATCAAACCGTTTTATCCAAATCCGAAGAATGGCGGTAGAAGCAAAGGAGATGATCGACGAAAAGGAGGTAACAACAAAAAATCGTCGCACAATAAAAATCGCGGTCGTGGTCAACGTAAGGACATGAAGAGCCTCAAGACGGGAACTTGGGAAATCAGTGGGTAACTACAATACTATATTAAGAAGATTAGTAATTTTCTTTCTGTCTCGAGCGTCGTAATATGTCATCTCGTGATATCATTTGTTCCCGACGACAAGTGCTTCTAAGGATCAATGGCTGTAGTGGGGTTTACATCACACACTTGCAAGCAAAGCCACGCACAAAAGCACCCGGTATCATCAATTCTTCGTCGGTCAACAAGGGGCACTTGCATGACGATGGTTTGGGTCCCTCCACCTTCCCGAGCTGGTGAAGGTACACACCCAATACTTTAACCCCGTTCAAAAGATTAACGACGTTGTATTTTTCGTTCTGCGAATGCGCGCCATCGTCGCAGGCACCAATTGGCAATAACAAAACGTTCATTCCTGTTGCATTCTCCAAGGCGGACGCGATTGGAATGGAGCCACCTTCGCGTGTGTAATCTGGTTTCACTCCATCGTAAACGATTTCGATAGCTTTTGCAGCTGCTTCAAAGTTGGGGTGCTTTGGATCAGAGAGCCATGGATGAGCTCCGTGGTGCAATTCGAGGTTCATTTTATTCGGTGACTGCAACTTCAAAAATTCCTTCTGGAGATGGTTTCTGACGAGCTCTTCTATTTTTTGGGGATCTTGGTCTGGAACCAATCGAAGCGAAAATTTTCCAATCACCTTTTTCGAAATAACTGTCTTTGCCCCTTTTCCGCTGAATGCTCCTTCGATTCCGTGTAATGAAAGAGTGGGATTGCGCCACCGATTCATCAAAAGATTCTTCTTGTCGTGGCATAAAAGTTTGTCGCTGATTGATTTAATTCCATTCTCCTCTTTAAAGCTTTCCAAATCGAAATCTATTGTTTCATACAAAGCCTCTTCCTCAGGTGTGACTGGCGCTACACTGTCATAAACACCAGGAACAAGTATTTTACCACTTGAAGATTCAACCAACGTCCCCATCAAGGAGATCAAGTCTGTCATTGGCTCGAATACTGTTCCTCCAAGAACACCGGAATGAAGATCCTTGGTGCTGCCTTCAACTGAAAGTTCAAAGTAGGCCAGACCTCGGAGTCCGTAAGTTAGGCATGGTTTTGTTTTGCCAAGCCAGTAGTTATCGCTGATACAAAAGAAATCAACATCGTCAAGAAATTTTCCAGGCTTCCCTTCGGATTGGATGAGCTCAAATATTCCCAAACTACCGCTTTCTTCCATTCCCTCGTATAAGATCTTAATATTTACAGGGAGGTCAACTCCAAGTTTTTGGTGCAGATAAATGATCCACAACCAACTGAGTGCCGGCCCTTTGTCATCGGTAGAGCCCCGCCCAAAAAGTTTGCCGTCTTTTTCAGTCAAAACGAAAGGATCTGTATCCCAACCATCTTCGATTGCTGCGGGCTGTACATCTAGATGCCCATAAACGCATACAGTTTTCTTTGATGGGTCGTTTGTCTTAAATTCGCCAAGAAGAATGGGGGGCAAGGGACGTTCCGAAGTTGTCAAGGGATTTGGAACCATTGTCGTAGAACCGCCCAACCTTTGAATGTAGGAATTAGTCCATTCCATCATTTCAATGATGTCATCGAGATGTTGATCAAGTTGAGCAGAAACGGAGGAAATTGAAACTGCTTTTGCGAGTTCTTCGATCATCATTGTTTTGTGTTCATCGACAAGGTCGAAGAATTCTCTTGCTAAGAATACTTTTTTCCCCTCTGTCATGTTGAGTCAGTGCTTAACTATGTTGCCCTCTTGGATTATCACAGTAGCGGTGCTTATGAATTACTTCTACTTCGTTGCTATTTTTGTTCGACCAGTAGTTGTGATCAACATCCGAAGTCTTCAGGTGACAGTCGAATTTTGAATATCTTTTCCGAAACAGGGTGTCAAAAAATAAATACGGTACCGTACAATAATACTGTTCTGTATTACATTTCGTAGTTCGTAATACTTCTTAGTAAATAAAATCACCGAACAGGGTGCTGTTCTTCAAGAGTATTTTCTGGAGCAGGACAAGAGGGAAGCTGAAAGAGACTGGAAGGCTGAAGAGAGGGAGAAGGCAAGAGATAAAAGGGCTGAAGAAGGAAATGATTGTTGTTGGCTTACCTTGGCTCAATCATGCAGCCAATCATTGGCCTCAACAGCAATGACAATTGCGCTCCCCCCACAAACACAAGCAGCAACAAGTGCCAGCCCAACAAATTCGATGGTGAAAGCAAAGAATTTATTTCCAACCCCGATTACAATGATTAGTACCTTTCCCTGAAAAAGCCCTGAATCAAATCTTCAGTGAAAATGGTCCACCAGAAGGATGTGCAGAACACAAGAAATTAAAACAACAACATTCTTGGTGAAATCCTATATGCATACAGCAATGTTTGTTGCCCTGATGTTGGATTTGCCGTATCTACCATGTCTGCAATGTCCAAATTCTCTCTGAACCCATCAGACCTAGTACACTTCAAATACCTCAAAGGTGCTGCTTTATACCTTCTGCAATAATACCACAAAACTACAATACTGCAGGATATCACCAAACTGCCTGCCGGATGGAAACTTCAACGATTCCCCAATCCCATTACCTGACAATCTTCCACCATTTCCATGGTTACCTACCAATGTCACCATCACCTGTGTACTAGTTGATGCTGCATACACTAATATAAAGCCAAAATGAAAGTCTCCCACAGGATTTGCGATCATGTTGGCAAACGCTGCCATTGTTTTTACAAATCAAAAACACAAACACAAACCTTGCAAAGCTTGACCGAAGCAGAATTTTATGCTGCTGTTTCCACTACAAAAATTGTTTTGTACCTCAGATCTGACCTGGGCTTTCCTCAACAACAACCAACAATGTTGTATGAAGATAATGACTCTACAATAAAAATTGTGAACTCAGGAATTCCAACTGAACGATCATGACACATCGACATACCATACTTTGCAATACAAGATTGGAAATCAGACTTATATATCAAGATGCAGTTCATCAGCAGTAAAATCAACCCTGCAGATGCACTCACTAAACCTCTTGGCTGGGTCCTTCACAATTGACATGTACGTCAACTCTTTGGCCACTTTGCTCTTCTTCTTGTTCCACCCAACTGATATCCTCCTTCCTCATCTTTTCTGCTATGATCTGCTTGGTGTACACATCACAGATCATGGGAGGGTGCTGTCTATAGGATATCAGATAGTGGTTATGATTCATATCTACAACACATACATATGACACATGCCTATGATTCATACACACTCTACATTCATGACTCACTTGATCCTACGGATCCACACAAGTGACTTGACTTGTTTGCATCAAAAACTCATATTCCATGTGTGTCCAAAATTGGAAAATGTCACCCCAGGATTTTTTGCTGACAACTTCATTTGTACTGCATATCATGACTGCTAAAAGTGTACTACCTGAAAGACCCCACACAGGAACACTTCCAATCACTCTCTGATTTTCAAACTTCATATGTACATCTCTCATAGTATAGTTGGGAGTCAAGTAGTAAGTGTTTCTTGGATTTTAATCCTCCTCTCTGTAGTTTGAGATTTGATGTGACGAAACAGAGCTGGTAGTAGTACTACTAGAAGGCTAGTACTGTAATTCTAGTAAAAATAGCCTGTCCTCCATCCAATTTTGTGAAAACAGTCCAGTCCCTAACAAAAATTTGAACAGTCTGTCCTTCATCTGTTTTTGCACGAAATAACGTGTACTTTGTAGTAGTAGTATTCTTTAGTAGTAGTGTTTATTAGATTGCTCTAATTAGTATTGTGAGACTAAAACTAATGAAATAGACTGAATCCCCTCTCACGTGCTTTCC